GGGGGTCAGATTTTGCTTTTAGTTGCTTATTTTTTATTCTACTAAAATCAATGAATATAATATACATAAGCTATAATTAATAACACAGCGATTTCAACCCCTTATTCTTACAATTAGATATTTTACAGCTCTTGAACATAGTTCACTTTGTCTGTCTAATTTTTGTGGTAATCGAGCCTTCTGATTGTGTGTTTGCAGGTAATATGTGTCGGTCTATTTGGAGGGTACTCTCTGTCTGTTTGTTGGGTGTGCATTATATACATGTGTTTATGTTTGTGTGTGTTTTCTTCCTACATCTATGCCATTTGTTTAGCTATTTATATGTCCGTCCATTTGTTTGTCTGCAGATCTCCCCTCCCCTCTCCCATACTTTGTCTTTCTCTTTATTTGAAACGAGGACAAGGACATTAACGATTGTCATTTCCATTGACCTGAACAAACTTTTGGCAATCTAGATATCTTGTTAACATTCTGTGCTTGAATAAGGTCGGGAGCGTTGGTCTCATACGGTTGTGTACAATTGAATATTGGATAAAAAGTATAATTTGATTATATAAAAATACAAAGTGCTTCCTCACCTTTGATTACACAGGTTAGGTTGATGTCCTCCCGCTCTGCCACAATCAAGTCCTTGGGCATCTCCTCGAACCGCGGGAAGTTAGGATCTACCTCCACGCTGTTGAAAACACCGAGGAACGTGTGGGAGGGGATGCAGGACATGGTGAAGAATAATACGAGTATTAGCTGTTAGAAAAATAGGATACCATAGGGGAGAACAGGGAGAGCTTAATAAAATGTAAATACGCCAAGCCTCCTTCAACTCTAAGTATACCATTACTTATAGCAATGTACATGGATTCCTCACTTCGATTTTGTTCTTATCGTGAGTAAACGTTCCTGCAGGAGGTGGAAAACCTGTTAACAATACGTCACATGACAACTCATTTATCAGAATTTAAGGGTCTTTTCATAAATTAGTTTCAGCACTTGTGGTTTGGACAAATTTGTTGTTATAGAAGCTAGAATTTAATGGTATCATAAACACAAATAACGTAGAGGTCTTTTCGTACCTGGCATAAATCACTAGGGATTATTGTGTTCAAGCTTAAGCGCCAGCATAAGATTAATTAAGCAAACGAGTATAAACCTGAACGTTACGCAATTGGGAACGCCATAAAATCTTTACTAAAACCAAACCTTGGCTCCTTTGATGGGCTGGATACGCTGACAGGGATGTCTGTGTATGTCTCTCCCTCCATATTGAGCGCTGTGGCTCGGTATGTCCCCGCGTCTGCCGATGTGGCGTTTTTGATCTCCAGAATGTACAAATCTCCTTCTGAACGGATGACCACTCGGCCACCATCTCTAAGCTTCACTCCAGATTTTGTCCAAGTGATATCTGGTTTCGGGTTACCTGTTGAGAAACCCTTGAAACATTATCTTTCTTTTATCCGCATGTGTTCTCAGGTACGCTTATTTGCTCCATAACTGGGAGTCTCTTTGCCTGGCTCAGTCTGTCAGTCTCTCTGTTTCTCTCCCTCCCCCCCTCTCTCTCTCTCTGTGTCTCTCTGTCTCTGTCTGTCTCTCTCTCTCTCTCTGTCTGTTTGTCTGTCTCTCTCTCTCTCTCTCTCTCTCTCT